GCCTATCACCATTATTTCTGCTTGGACAGCAGCAAGTTCCTGTCCCTTCTAATACTGCATGTGTTCTGAATATAAATGTGCTTTTCATCTTTAATCTATTCAAATGATATTCTCCTTGCTGCTGCAATCTAAATTTTATATAGCCGCATAGCAACACTTTATGATGCATTACTTCACAACAGGATGCTATAAAACTGGGAAAATTTTGTATTGCAACAAAGTTTTCATTCAAACATATTTCCCAAGAGATAGGGAGATTCACATATGATTCCTATGTGAAAATAATATATAAAGAAATAAACTGGTTACAAGAAACAAAGAGAAAATATATTTATGGTTTTCCCAGGCTATATTTTCTATTGATTTTACTCATGCTACTTTTTAGGAAAGTAAATATTTTTTGAAAGCATGATAAACTTCAATAATGAGATGTTCAAGTGATGGATTTTTTCTTTTATTCTTTACACCAAATTTGAAGGTTATTTTTTCATAGAAAATCTTCTTACAGGGCCTCCCCTGGTGGCGCAGTGGTTGAGCACTGGGCTGAGAAGCTGCCCACAGCCTCTGCAGCACCGGTTCCATCTCCGATTGCCGGAGAGGGTCCCACATGGCGCGCAGACCTCTCTTGCCCCCTGCTGCTCCCTTCAGCAGTGTATTTCTTCGACTGTCTGCCTGTTCTGTTCCCCACTCTGGCTCTGGTGAATTCTCTCACCCTTTTGCGGTTCTGACTGTACCCAGTGCGTGTATAAATAAATAAATAAATCTTTAAAAAAAAAAAAAGAAAATCTTCTTACAAGGCAGAAATTGAAGGCATTTAAATGAGAAAAATTATGGACGTCATGATGTGGCAAGTTAAAAAAGTTTCGATAAAGTTCATCAGTTCCAGAAGAAGGTGTTTTGTAAACTGATTTTCATAGTAGTGGCTAAGTGCCCTGTTCCAGGGGGAGCATCATTTAATTTCACCTTGGGACCTACGGTTCATTACCACCACTAGCTGTCCAATGAAACTTGCTCATTAACAATTTCCTTGTGGTACACACCAGTTTATATCAGTGTCCCCCAAACAGGAGGTCTACTGCATGCGTGCTTGACTGCAGACTGCGGCTGCAATTGTCCAATTCCACAGAGACACGTAGAAGCAGCAAACGCTAGTGGCTGCGGCCTGTTTAACGAGTAAGTGCAGCATTACTCAGACTGGATGCTCATACAGCTCAGGTTAGAAGTGGGGCTGTGTGAGTTGGCAAATGGCTTAGACTTGCTGGGCCTCAGCTGCTTGCTCTGAATACCAATAACCATCTCCTGGGGGCGGGGGGTGTAATTATTAGATAGTAGATATCAAATATCTGTCATATAGTAGGTGTCTGCCACTTACTTATTTCTTGATCTCTCCTTGCACTGATGTCAGCTTTGCTGGCAATGATGTGTCTACATGCTTGTGACCAGAAACCCACCCTTTGTTCTGGTCTAAGGCTACTCTCCCAGCTCCCTGGTGGCAGAACTTTGCTGTCCTGACCCCTAGGCTGATACTTGTCATGAGGCTTGTTCCAAAAGAATTTGAACCTAAGCTGAGCTTTTCCAAACACAAGTTCCCAGTGTTCCAAAGGGTTTTAGAATAATAAGAAAATAAGTAACTAGGTCTTATCTACCTGAAGCTTTCTGTATCTCTTGACACCAGAGAAGTAAAATCATCTCTGTGGTTCTAGGAGTCTTATTTCATGAGCTCATTGATAATGTGAATATCATTTTCTTTTAAACAAAATTTACCTCAAATAATCCTTTAGGGGAATTTAGGATTATTAAGCAGAGTGGCAGAGATTCTATTAATGAGTTTCATCAACATACTTCTGCATTTGGTTTTTAAGTAATTTTTATCTCCCAGGAGTGTGTTTTGAATTGATGCAAAATTCTCCTGAAGTCTTCTTCTAAAGAAGTAGCAACACCACTGCAAATAGTGAGAATGCAGAAATACTTCTGGTAAGGTGAAGGAAAAGTCAAGATTCCCTCTCACCACAGATTTCCTAAAGTTGTTCATTTTACCTTTGTTTTGACACAAGGAACAAATGCCATATGGGGGGAGGATTTTAAAAGGTGCATGACTGGACAGAATATTTTAAGAGAGGCAGACACCTAGCAGAAGAGGACCGAAGGCATCGTCACCAAACCCCAGTCATGGGCCGGGTTCAGGAGCCCCTCAAAGCAAAGATTTAGGAGGAATGAGGTGGCTATGCCAAGACCAGTGAGGTATGTTCATAAAGAGAGTTGATCTGTCCCTCTCTCCACTCCTATTCTCCAGATTCAGCAAAGGCAAGGGCCTGTGCCTCTCATTCCCCTGTTCACCAACCCAGTGTACCTGTCTTCAGCTACCCAATGAATGCAGCAGGTGCCCAAAGGTGTCTTCTCTTCATGCATTTCACTGGCTTTGCATCCTCCCTCAGCCACCCCCTCCTTTCTGGGCAGCCTCCTCTGCTGCCTGTGCCATGGAGAGATGCGGTGGCAGAAATGCTGATGAACTTAAGATCTCTGAGGTCACCTAAAACTTGGACAGAAGGGTGCTGGCACCAAGGAAATGAATTCATGAGTACCTAAGAGAGTGGTGTATGCACACACACAGCAAGTGTGAAGCGATGTGGTTTACATAGAGCAGGTCTTAGAAAGAATCCATACTGCCACTGTTCATCCATGTATGGGTAGTTAGGAGCAGGCGAAATATGGCTTCTCTAGGTTCTCTTACCCAACCCCTCCTTTCCCCAGAGAAGACTTTCCCACTGTTGAATCAATGATGCATGAATGAGCAAGAATATATGGGCTATAAGAAGTCATCAGAATAAAAGCTCTATGTTTTGTCGGAGCCAATCAAAATCCAGGAGGGTCTAAAGGCTTAGATTTTTAAATCCTATGATGATAGAGCATGGGTGGACCCAAGAGATTCTTTAGTCTTGATGTATTTCAACTAGCAAAGTTAATGTTTCTAAAGTTGCATTATTTTGAGATGATAGCAATTGTTTAGAAATCCCATGAAAGTTCACTGCTGATCTTTCTCTCCTCCATGAAGAAGATGGTGTCTCTGAGTCACAGGTCTTTTGAGTTGGAAAGAACCCAGAGGCTGAGCCTCACTCTCCCTCCTGTCGTGAGAGGAGCACAGCTCTTTCTGGAGCAATCTGGCTGCCAGGACCTCACCCTTCAGCACCCCAGTGAAAGTAATCTGGCTTTTCCAGTTAAAAGCTGTTACCACAATCCCCTTGTTGCCTCCTAAGGTGGATCCCATGCTTCCCAAACAGAAACAACAATGTAAGCCAATGTGACTTCAATAATTTCTTTAAATTGGTGTAAACATTATCCAATCCCAGAGTTTTGTAAGGATTAAATGTCGCCCTATATAACTTCAAAAACATTAAGTTGCACCTCAAATGCGGTTACACAAATAGAATTAAAATGCTTGCCTAGAAAAAAAATCTTAGGTATCCTGTGTAAATCTCTACAGTCCCTCCACCAAGCCGCGGGACGCGTTATCTCGTGCAAAATCTCTGCAAACCGCACTGTCTTATCAACATACAATACGGCCTCCGCCCTGTTTTTAGGTATCCGGGTGTTTCTAAAGGAGACCCAAGGATCCTGGCGGCATCTGTTACCTATTTACTAGAGTGTGTGTGTGCTGGGGGGCGGGGGTCACAAAGCTGTTTTTTGTCTGCTCCAGAAAGCGGGTCGGACCTCGAGACTTGGGATAACTCAGCCGCTTTCCGGGCGCCCAGCGCTGGCCGCAGCAGCCGCTCCCAGAAAATCCGCCACCTGCAGGGTTTGCCAAAATCATCAGGTGGGGCGGTACACAGGTGCAAGAGGAGGAAAAGGGGCTTTTTAATGGGATTGAGTTGGTGTCCAAGCAGCTATTCGGTTTGTTGAAGGGACAGGCAGTTAACAAAAGCCAAAGTTCCCCCTGCAGAGCGCGCGCCGCCTTCGCAAGTCGGTTTTCTCCCAGGTTAGCGTCCACCTCATCTCTGCGCTCTTCGCCACCTACACGCTCAATGAGCTCGACGCGGTCCAGGCTTCGTTCCTCAGGAAAAAAATGGCAGAAAACCTGCAAATACTAAAAAGGTTGATAGTAAATGCCCCGAGAATTTAGAAATGCCAAAATGAACACCCACCTTGGCGCAGCTTCAGTGCGTGCTGAGAAGCAGCGTTAAAGGGGGGAGACAAAAAAAGAGGGGTGTAGACGAATTAAAGGGCCAGAAAAAGCTACAAAGAAACGTAAATCTGGGCCTCCCCGGTGGCGCAGCGTTTGAGCGCTGGGTTGCGAAGCTGCCCGCAGCCTCTGCACCACCGGTTCAACCCCCGGCTGCTCCCTGGCCACAGGAGGAGGGCCCCACATGGCGCGCAGACCTCTCTTGCCGCCCGCTGCTCCCCTCAGCAGTGTCCTCTGCCTGCTCTGCTCCCCGCTCTGGCTCTGGTAGATTCTTTCACCCTCCCGCGCTTCTGACTGTACCCAGTGCTTGTATAAATAAATAAATCTTAAAAGAAAAGAAAGAAACGTAAAACTTTCCTCCTTATACACCGCATACTTGTCATCGGCACTGCCCCTCACCAGAGCAGAAAGTTGCAGGTGGACCCGAGTGGGGAGGGGGCGGGATGAGCGGGCAGAGGGTCTCGGAGGCACCGGGATATGGAGACCTGACGCGTTAGCTGGAGCCAGAACCTGCTTAGGGGGCTAAGTCAGAATCCTAGGGACACCGGCTCCTGGAATAAGTATGCCGGGGGGGCGAGGGGAGCGCAAGGAAAAGAAAAGGGCGAGGGCGCCGCGGGTCTCGGAGAAAACAGACGGCCTCGGAGGAAAGTGGCAAGGCTGCGAGCCGCAGCGGCCGGCTGCCCCCGCCTCGCCTTTTGCGCAGAATCCTCCCCCTGGCTGCGGCAGCGCGCTGCCCCCAATGGCCAGGCGCGCCGCGCCCGGTGGCAGGCTGCGTCAGAATTCTCCCCGCGTATAAATAGAGGTGGCAGGACGGCGCCGAGCCGCACACAGCCATCCACCCTCCCCGTCCCTCTCTCCCCCGCTGTCCCGTCTCCCGAGGTCCTCATCTCCGCCGCCAGCCAGAGGACAGCGACCGCCACCATGAGTTCCTTCAGCTACGAGCCGTACTACTCGACCTCCTACAAGCGGCGCTACGTGGAGACGCCCCGGGTGCACATCTCCAGCGTGCGCAGCGGCTACAGCACCGCGCGCTCTGCCTACTCCAGCTACTCGGCCCCCGTCTCGTCCTCGCTGTCCGTGCGCCGCAGCTACTCGTCCAGCTCCGGCTCCTTGATGCCCAGTCTCGAAAATCTCGACCTGAGCCAGGTAGCCGCCATCAGCAACGACCTCAAGTCGATCCGCACGCAGGAGAAGGCGCAGCTGCAAGACCTCAACGACCGCTTCGCCTGCTTCATCGAGCGCGTGCACGAGCTGGAGCAGCAGAACAAGGTCCTGGAGGCCGAGCTGCTGGTGCTGCGCCAGAAGCACTCCGAGCCCTCCCGCTTCCGTGCGCTGTACGAGCAGGAGATCCGCGACCTGCGCCTGGCGGCGGAAGACGCCACCAACGAGAAGCAGGCGCTCCAGGGCGAGCGTGAAGGGCTGGAGGAGACACTACGCAACCTGCAGGCGCGCTACGAAGAGGAGGTGCTGAGCCGCGAGGACGCCGAGGGCCGGTTGATGGAAGCGCGCAAAGGAGCCGATGAGGCAGCTCTTGCGCGCGCCGAGCTCGAAAAGCGCATCGACAGCCTGATGGACGAGATCGCCTTTCTGAAGAAAGTGCACGAAGAGGAGATAGCCGAGCTGCAGGCGCAAATTCAGTACGCGCAGATCTCCGTGGAGATGGACGTGTCCTCCAAGCCCGACCTCTCCGCGGCGCTCAAGGACATCCGCGCCCAGTACGAGAAGCTGGCGGCTAAGAACATGCAGAACGCCGAGGAGTGGTTCAAGAGCCGCTTCACGGTGCTGACCGAAAGCGCCGCCAAGAACACAGACGCTGTGCGAGCCGCCAAGGACGAGGTGTCCGAGAGCCGCCGCCTGCTCAAGGCCAAGACGCTGGAGATTGAAGCGTGCAGGGGCATGAACGAGGCGCTGGAGAAGCAGCTGCAGGAGCTGGAGGACAAACAGAACGCCGACATCAGCGCTATGCAGGTACCGCGCCAGGCAACATGCAGCAGGGGCGGGGAGAGGCTGCCAGGCCGAGTTGGGGGTGGGGGTTGAGTTTAGAGCCCCCACTAAGTGAAGGCGGGATGGGCATCTGTTTGCAATTAGGGGGTGGTACTTGGCTCCTGGCAGTCCGAGTGGGAGTGGGAGGGGTGGGGCACTTGGAGGGGGGTGGCTGGGTGGGGAAGCCACTGCAGTCTGGGAAGAGGTGCTAGGTGCTGTTGAAATGCTGTTCTGCAGTGTGGAGGCCCAGACGTGGAGGGGGTGGGGTGGGCGAAGGGGTGTGAGCTGGGCCTGGTCTCTGGCCTGCCACTCTGCTGTCTGAAGTTAACCACTAGTTGCTCGGATGGTGATGGGAGCATTTGGTTAGTAAATACAACAGGAAGCTCTCATTAGTTCTAAAGGCAACTGGCCCCCATGCTTTCTGACGCCCTCCCCAGAGCAGGCACACAGCCACGCTGTCAAAATTATAACAGGTTATGATGTTCACACTAAGACATTTCTTTTGTAGGGATTTCCATATCCTAGGGAGAAGAAAAAATAATGTAGATGCAAAGAAAGTATTTTGGATAAAATCATTTTTTAAATCTAGCTACTCCTTTCTATAAAGAAGTGGATTACTTTCTTGACTATGACCCGGATAATCAATGAATGAGAGAACATTTTAAGTCGATTTAGTTCTTACAGGAATTTTATGATGATTAGTAGATTAATAGCTAAAAAATTAAACCCAATTTTTTTCATTAGTTTTTTTTTTTTTGTTGGTTTTCCTCTCATGTGTCTACATTCATGAAACTAGGGTTGGGGCAGGGGCAAAGATTAAAAGGAAGAGGCAGATATTTTAGGGGAGATTTTATCTCGGATAGACACTTTAATTTAAATCGAGGCTTTTGCAGCTATACCACAGCAAAATGAGAGCTGTAAGGATTTCCACTTGGATTTTTCTCTCCCCTTTTTCTTTCCTTTTTTATTTTTTGTCTTCCTACAGGACACAATCAACAAATTAGAAAATGAACTGAGAACCACAAAGAGTGAAATGGCTCGATACCTAAAAGAATACCAAGACCTGCTCAATGTGAAGATGGCTTTGGATATTGAAATTGCAGCTTACAGGTAAAAAAAAAAAAAAAAAATAGGGGCAAAGGTAGCAGCTATACAGGTTCCATTTATAGTGAATCAGAAACCTTCACAAATAGGCCTTTGACATAATAATTAGGTTTTTTTTCCTTTTCTAAGAAGAAGGTGTTTAGACAAGCATATAGGAATTTAATCGTGTAATAAGGAGTCCTGTTCTTAGCTTCCCAATTATGTTTTAATCCAATATTTTACAGGTTTTTTTTTTTCTAGTTATAACATCCCTAGTGATTGTCTTGACAATTCCCAATCCTGCTCCTGCTTGCAAGCAGGGGTTCCATGAAGGGTGGAGTTTGGGGAAGGTGATGAGTGCTGGGCTCAACGTGCTTCTCTGTTCCTGTTTGTCATCGCCCCAGGAAACTCTTGGAAGGCGAGGAGACCAGGCTCAGCTTCACCAGCGTGGGAAGCATAGCCAGCAGCTACTCCCAGAGCTCCCAGATGTTCGGCAGATCTGCTTATGGAGGTTTACAGACCAGCTCCTACTTGATGTCCGCCCGCTCCTTCCCCTCCTATTACACCAGCCATGTTCAGGAGGAGCAGATAGAAGTGGAGGAGACCATTGAGGCTGCGAAGGCCGAGGAAGCCAAGGACGAACCCCCCTCTGAAGGAGAAGCTGAAGAAGAGGAGAAGGAGAAAGAAGAAGCCGAGGAGGAGGAGGGAGCTGAAGAGGAAGAAGGTATGATCAGAAACAAGCCCCCAGCACTGCAGGTGCAGACTGGGTGTGGTGACCTCTCAGGGGATGGATAAGCGAACCCTTGCTTATGGCAGGGACGTTTTATTCATTCATGCACTTGGCATCTTCAACAATCACTTTATTCAACAAACCTTTAGAAAGCACCTGATTTCTCAGATTGGCAGGCCTCGCAGAGATATGCACCTCTGCTTAGCTTGGTAGTTTTTTGAAATGAATATTTAAAGGTGCCATCCTCCCGGACTTTATTCCTATTAAGCATTTTTAAATGTATTCATTTAATGAGCAGGGAATGTCTTACAAAACAGAAATGAACGCCATGCACATAACAGAAAACGTTGCGGTCCTGGAGCGAAGCAGAACTTCCAATACTAGAAATCTCTTCTGTTTCATAGGTGTTCATGGTGATTATTCCTGGCAAGCATTGTTGGCTGCAATGTTTGGGGACAGTAGATCTGAGTGGTTTTGGGGGAAGCCTTCTTACATTTGTTTTTGCACACAAAACCTTAGCAGAAAGGCTTTTTTTTTTTTTTTTAAGATTTATGCATACAAGAACTGGGGTACAGGCCAGAGGTGTGGGGGGTGAGAGGACTCACCAGAGACAGAGTGGGGAACAGGCAGATTGTGAAATACACAGCTGAGGGGAGCAGCGGGCGAGTCAAGAGAGGTCTGCTGCGCCATGTGGGTAGCTCCCTGGCCAGGGATCAAACTCATGCTGCAGTGGCTGCGGGTAGCTTCATAGGTTATGTCTTAACTCCTTGCCCTACCAGGGAGGCCCCTTAGCAGAAAGGTTTTGATTGAACTTACCCTGGATTTGGAGCTTGTAAACTTTCTTTTTATGTTCAAGCAGCCAAGGAAGAGTCAGAAGATGCAAAGGAGGAAGAAGAAGGAGGTGAAGGTGAAGAAGGAGAAGAAACCAAAGAAGCTGAAGAAGATGAGAAAAAAGATGAAGGTGCTGGGGAGGAGCAAGCAACAAAGAAGAAAGATTGAACCCCCCTTTCCTTAATTATTCCAGGAATAATTCTCCCAAAATCAGGTCAACCCATCACCAACCAACCAGTTGAGTTCCAGATACTATATGAATTAAGAAGTCAATATATGTATAATGCTGAGATGACTTAGGTTGGACATTCAATGTTGTGCTATGACTTTTCTCCTTATGCAGAGTACTTGTTTGCTTGCAGAGTGGCTTCCTGGCTTGCTGCCAGCCTGTGCATGGTCCATGCTTATGAGTTCAGGATCTATGGCAATGTGAATCATTCAGATGTTTACAATAAAAAAACCACATGAATAAATGAATTCACTAATGTTACTGTTAAACTTTATGGGAAAATAGTTCTCTGAACCTTTGATGGTTAGAAATTCAAGACCTCGAATTATGTGCAATAAATAGTAAATAAAGTTACACTGAATGACATTTCTTGCTGTGGTTATTGAATTAATTAAAATATAGTAAATAAGGCATCAATATAAGTCAAGTGGATAATTGTCTTCCAAATGTTAAGTTAAAATTTTAATAATTACAATGCATTTTCTCCTTTAATTGGTAACACTGAGGGATACAATTATGACCATTCAGAAATCTCTCCCTTCAAAAATTTTACTTATAATAAACTTCAGTAAATGAGAGTCATTGGGGGTTCTTCTTTAATGAAGAACAATACACTTCACCCCATAAATATACTTCTTTTCTAAATAATAATACATTTTGCTCTACCCTAAGGTGGAGGAAGGGCTTCTTGGGTACTGTTCATTTGAATTTATCTGATAAATATACCTTTTTATAGTAAACAAGTCCTCTTAATACTAGTATACAGTAATAAACATAATATGAACATGAATTCCATCCATTATATCCACATTTTAGTAAAATCTAAATATGAGAAGTTGAACTCCCAGCAAATTACATAATCAGAGGGAATGATTTTCTATTAATTTATAGTTTTGGATAGAATAAGGACATCAAAGATTATTTGCCATTGGAAATGTGTTGCCTATAATCCTGAGCTCATGATTTGGTGTGTTGTTAGCTTAAGTATGTTGCCTCTAAATAACATTAAATGTCATCTATTTTAAACCTGTTTAAAATTACAGATACAGATAATGAGATTGTTATCAGCCATAAAAGGTGGAGATTATATAACTGTGTGTTACATTGCCATTGTTCTGCATGACTTTATGGGAAATACTTGGATTTCACTGATAGCTCTAACTGGTTGGACATTGCATCGAACATACACATCTGTCCTCCCTGCCAACTGCAATGTTATGAAAGCTCTTGTACTTGATGTGGAATGTAGATGGAATTACGTGCTGTTCTGCTTCTGTTCTTGGGCAATTGCTTTGTCAATGAATTTTGTTCACTAATTTGTTCTTTAGACAACTTCTAAAAGTTCCAAAGTTAACCAGAAAGCAGTCTCCATTTAAAATCTGATTACTAAACACTACCTATTTCTAGTTAAATATTTGTGATTGCACAAATAGGAAAAATATTTCTTTGTCTACCACGATGGCATGGATTTGCATTGTGAAGATTCTAAGTATGTTGGCTTCTGTAAAGACTAAGTCACCTCAGAAACCAAGCTTTTCACATTTATATTAAGCACTGGCTGCTGCACATGTCAGACCTCTAACAGGTGCAAATTACACACAAAAAAGGAACAGGTCAAATGGAAACAGCTGGCTGGGTTGAGAATTACTTGAAGTCAGAACTCTGTACCATATACTCTATCCTGTGTGCCATAATAAAATACTGAAAAACCTAAACTAAATGGACTTGAAGTCTTTACAATTTTTTTTTCTCAAATTTAGTTCCTTGGTCAGTGCTGCTCTATCTTCTGTAATGCATATCCCACCCCAACTCCAGTCTTCTTTCTCTAGACTTTCCCTTTCCCTGTCAATGACCCCACCCCATCATCCAATTCTGCAAACTAGACACTGGGCATTCACTCCTGTTTCTTCTCAACCCCAGTAGTCTGATTTGTCACACTATTAACGATACTCCCACTGTATCTAGAATCCACCACATTTCTCCTTTCATAGTCACTTTCATTTCTCAGTTAGTGTCTCTGATTTTTCCTCGCCTGTCCTCAACCCTGCTACCCAGTTCCTACTCATCCTTTAGATTTAGATTCAATCATTCTCTTGGGGAAGATTTCTGGGACTAGGCCTTCACTAAAGGTGTCCATAGGATGGTGTACATCATGAACACTTCTATACACTAATAAACATTTTTAAGAACAGAGATGAATTTAAAATTAATATTCAAGGATCATTAAATTTCAGAATGCTGGTTCTCGAGGTATTTTCCTATCGCTCACAATTTTCTAGTTCTGTTTACATTTAAATGGTTCTCAATAGTTGCTCCTGTCTTCCTTCTTCTCTTCCTTGTCTTTGTCTTCCTTCTTACATGTATTCTTGTCATAAGCTATTTCAAATCATTTTGGGAAGGGGTTCAAAGGTGACTAAAGAAATAAATATTTGTTTCCTGCTATAACACTCAACAAAGTACCTGGCATTTAGTGGGCATTAATATAATGTTTATATAATAGTAAAGGTTAAGGGAATTGCAGTGGAAAATTCAGTATGTTTTCCTCTTGGAAAAAATGTTCAGTAGAAGGGCGTGCATGAATTACACAAGCTGAACAGGGAGAGTCATTTTCTAGTCCTCTAGAAAATTTCCAGCAAATCATCCAGAGGGAGAGCCAGAGGGTCAGAAAGTAGTGTCATGGGAAGAAAGAAACAGACTCAGAAACTATCAGTAGTTTTTCTATCAGTAGTTTTTCAATTCTACTACAACATTGATAATTTTTTGTGCATAAGAAGATTAAAAGATGTATTAATATTTAAAGACAAGTTTATAAAAAGGAGAAAATTTACACTTCCTCCATTTAGTCAATATTATTTTCATTTTTATATGTTCTTTAAACATTTTATTGTTTTTACTTACTCATAGGTTGACTTATCATGTCCATTCATTCCACATGTTAAGGTTGCAGACACTGTTCTGGGGGCAAGGCAGAGCGGACAGTATCCCAGTTGCATATGACACTGGCATACGTGTGTAAGCGGACAGTGAGAAAAAAAATTAATAGGTAGGTGACATGTGATGTAAGTCAGACATGCAGTGACCTGGGGAGTGAGTGTTTCAGGTAGAAGGAACAGTAAATGCGAAAGTTTGACTGTTGGGACCTAGAAAAATGCCTTAACCTCATTGTTGAGCATTAAGAATGAGAGCAAGAGTAGGAGATAGGCCAAGACAGGCTAGCCAGAGCCTGATTGTACAGGGACTTGTGGATCAGGAGTTTCCATTTACTCTTCATGCAGTTAGAAATTTTGAAGACAGGGGAAGGTGACATGGTCTGATTTTTGTTTTATAAATATCACTCTGACTCCTGTGTAGACAAGAGACTACAAAGAAGTAAGAGTCAAAGAGGAGAAACTAACTAAAAGGATGTTTTACTTCTGATGAGGGAAGATGATAGAGATGGTGACTTAGAGAAGGGCCGTGGTAGTATAATGTGGTATGATTTAGGAAATCTCTGAGGTAACTTTTTGCTGTGAATGAATGCATGGAGAGGGAAAGTTGTAAGCAGTATCTTATTTTTGATAACTACATAATGCTTCATCAAATTAATATTTATTAATTTATTAATATGTATTAGTTATCAATAGCTGCATAACAAATTGCTCCAAGGCTTCGTGCTTCAAACAATCCCAGTTACTCTTTATTTCTTAGTTTCTACAGATCAGGAACTTGGGAGTGGCTCAGTTGGGATGCTTTGATGCTAAGTCTCTAATAGGATGGCAGTAAGATGAGAGCTTCACAGACCTGCAGATTCAACTCCAAGATGGCATACCAGTAGGCTGGTCATTTCGTCCCATGTGGGCCTGTTAGGGGGAAAATAATGTCCTAAAGCTAATTCCATACAGGCTTTGTGGACTCCACCCCCATCCCAGGCCAAAGCCAAAGACACTGGGAACTCCAAATCCCATCACCACCAAAGGGAAGGTGGCTGGGACCTGAGGGTGGGGTTAAGCAGCCAAGTGAGTATAAAGGCAGACACGTGGGCTTTGGGGCGGTCCCCCATTTTGGCTCTCCACCAGCTAGCAGCATCTGGCCAGCTCTGAGAGTGCCTTTGGGTTTCCAGGTCGGTGGATCAGGTAGGACGCATTAAAGACTTTATTTCCCTATTTTCTCCCTGCGTTGTACATTTTCCTTATTTCCTTTTCCCTTGTAAATAAACCTTTTATTAACCTTTTGTGTGTGCCTGTAGTGGAGTATTCATAAGTCCCTTGTAAGCGCGCGGGTGAGGACCCACAGCCAGGCAACCCGTTCAATATCGGGCTGTCCTATAACAGGCCTTTCCATGGAGCTGCTTGGGGAGATTTACAGGACAGCAGTTGGCTATCCCTAGGGCAAAGCCTCCAAGAAATGAAGGAAGAAGTCGTAATGTCTTTTATGACTGAGGACTTGAAAGTCACACATCACCACTATCAGTGTACTCTCATGATTGCACAGACCAGCCTGTCTGATTCAGTGTTGGGGGAACCACATAAGAATGTAATACCAACAACTAAGGATTACTAAGGCTACCCTAAGATAGTAGCCATGTGATCATTTCTTTTATGACCAGTAGTCATCTATTCAAGAGAGTCTGCAGCAATTCCAGTTTTAAACATTCTTTCCTGTTGCTACCAGCACATACGTTCTTATTTGATCAGATGTCCCCATTTAAGTGTAACATGTGACCTGATTTAAGTTTGAACATATGTACAAAAAAATCACATGTTGGCAACGAGTATCTTCATCAATGGATATTTCACTCTTGGCCTTCTATTTAAGTATTTCTTCAGTAATTCCCCTGGTTGGATTTTGTGTTTAAAGGGTATTGTGTACATTTTAATAGCTCTTGATATTATCCCCATATTTTTTCCTATAAAGCTTGGTGGCTATACCTCAAGGTCTTAGATTTCTTGCATTAGTTCATTTGTAAAGAAATACAATTTTTTCTAGTGAATTGGAATCATTGTAGTGGCAGCTAATTTGTGATTTAAGGTAACTTGTAACAGAAAAAGTGTTTATTTAAATTTTTTTTTGTCAGGTAGTCAAAGCCATCTCAGTTGATACAATTTTTTTTTAACCTTAGGTTCTGATATAGGACACACATGATTTGAAAAGGGACACCTCTAATAAATAAATTGATTAGTTCTAAGTAGTCTTAAATAGGAAATGGCTTTATGCAAACACCAAAATGCTGTAGATGAGGCCTGGGTTTTTAGCAGCTATTAAAGACATTTTCATTTGTGTATTGATGACCATTCATACCTTTGCTCTTGGCTGAACGTCATTCTTTCAATCTATAATCACACACATCCTTATCATTTCATGTGAAATATAGGCCATTTCTTGCCATGCCCATTAAAAAAAAAGATCTAGCAGGACGTTTGGATGCTTTGATGCAACAGAACAAATAACTCCTGTCTTTACTACTAGTAAAAACAGAAACCTTAGATTTAAAATTCTATCCCTGTTGTACCTAATCATCTCTGGTTTGAGAGGAAGGAATCATCTACTCATTCTGGTTTGGTTTGTTAATTTGTTTCTAATCCTTTACTCAAGGGAGAAACCACCTTTTAATTAGAGGTTAAAACGAACAGGCAGAGGAGGGAGAACCTCTGACTTTTTCCTGCGCACCCCCCCAACACACAGGGAAATATGTGTGAGAGAGAATCTCAACTGTAAGCCACAATCATTCACACAATTTGAGACAAGAAAATTGGTGTCAGACATGAAATCAGAGGGCAATTCGGAGGTGAGATAAAATGCACCACCTGCTCCAGGCCAGCTAAGGTGTGTGTCAGTTGGCCCTGGGGTGGTCCTTTCCAAGGACTAAACCCCTGGCAATGCTGTACTTAAAGCCACCGTGGTTTTCCCTCCTTGATCGTGTCTGCAAGTGAGGCGGGGTGGGGTGTGTGTGTGTGTGTGTGAGGGGTGAGGGAGGCATTTCCAAGGGGCTGCTTTAGTGACTTGGTCAGAGCACCTGAGGAAGATCTAGGAGCCAGGGACTCAGCTCAGGAACTCGGCTAGTTCTCTCTTTACCCTTCCTAAGTGAGTGTCCACCGCCCCCCCCTTCCTGCTAATCCCACTGAGTAGTGGAAAACAGAAAATGCTAAGTGTGATTTACTAAGGTGCTTTGGAAAGCTCGGGGGACTCAGATATCAGAGAGTGGAGATGGGCTTCTGCGGCCCCGGCTGCTGTTTTGCATGTGACAGAGAGCACGTCCTCTCCTTCCTCTGCAAGGGGAGGGGGCGGAACCCGGATCTGGTTATTCAGGGCGCGGACGCCTGGAGCCTTGGCAGCCGCGCGCCTCTGCCCTGCCCACCTAGGAAACGAGGCGTTGCTCTAACTCAGGGACACTTTAAGCAAAAGGAGTAGAAAATACTTCCTATGGCGGAACCTGCTTCCTCCGGGATGAAAAGATGCTAATGAGTTTGGCATCTTCGTGTCTTCCCAGGACTCCCCCGTGGCAACAAGACGCTCTCCCAGGTCAGTCACCCCTCGACCGCCACCCCCGGTGGGGCCCCATCTCTTGCTTCCCAGGGGCTCCCCAGAGGCCCCGCTGGGCTCCTCCAGGAGCTGCTGGGGCTGGGGTTGTTCCTGAACAGCACTGAGCACATTTGACGGTGTTTTAGGATTACTCTGGAAATACACAGCATTTTAATGTTTTTAAAAGTAATTTGAACAAACCGCCCCA